CTCTAATTTCTTAACTCCTAAAATCTTCAAATTTTCCTTCAGAAACTTTTTCCAAGAACAGAAAGATGAGTCAGTTTGTTGCTTTGCAGATTTTGAAACAGAGGTGTGAAAGTGAATCACCTGGTGTGTGTTAAGAAGTTGGTAGTTAATTAGATATTCCAAGATCCTACTCTCTATCATCTTTATTCAAAACATCTGCAGTTTAGCCCAGGTTCTACATTTCCTTAGCCTCCTTCTAACTCTATGCTGAGTTTTCCATGCAAATATTCTGGTCATTAAAAAGGAAAAGAGAACACTGACTGAATAACAGAAGTAAGAAGGCAAACACTTTCTACCCTTTTCTGATTTTCAGACCCAATCGGTTTAAAATGTACATATACATGAACAGTATGATTTTTCTGGTTTTCTCCTTAGAGTATACTCTCCCTGGAAAACTCTTCTTCCATGACAGTTCTATGTCTGTAAAGATACATGTATGTGTGTAAATTATGCAGAAAGATAGACATGATATGATGCTTTCTTTTGGCTATTTTCCCTTTCTACATACACATTCAAATTAACTTGCATTATATTTTATATTTCTTACAGGAAGATTATTGTAACATATCAATGTTACTTGTTTTAGACATCTATCTTCCATGATAATTTCATCTGTGTATCTATACTACATCAAACAATACACATCATATTATATATTTAGTATGTGTTACTTTATAGATACGGTTATTTCTAGAATTCTCTAGAAGTATGCTTGCTCCAACCTAGGGAGAAAGAGATCATTGTCAACATTCTTTTTGAACAAGCAGTTCTAATATCACTGCCCTCCTTTGTGATCTATAATGTCTCTGAAAAATAATTCAAGTTTCATTTTGAACTTCATATTGAATAATTAACTCTAACAGAAATTTTTCTCATTTGGAAAACTGGTTTTGATCACTAAACTTCAGTGTTCTTACGTAGTCAAGTTTAGCCTGGGGGGGGGGGGATGATTTCCTGAGATAATAAAATCTAAAAGGTAATTTTGATGTCACATTAAGAAACTAAAAAGCATTTCACAGAATGGTGTGAGCCAAATCCTTATTTAGTTACAAAGCCCTGAGAATCTGGGAATGGGGATAGGCTGCAGGGTAGTTATATTCATGGAAATCAAGTCCGTTAGGTCAAAATAGTAACTTGGATGGATTTAGATGATAAGAAAGTGAGGCAGAGCACACACTACAAATCCTCACTTAGTCTATACCACAGAGACTTAGAATAGCTTTTGTTTGTCAGTACGTATAAACCAGACCTAAATCAGTAAAGTCTTCCAAGTATATCAGGAAAAAGACTTACATAATAATATAGTTTTACTTAGTGCTTAAGCTTTATCAGCTGTGTCTTTTCTAGGGCAGAGAATGTGACATGATTCTTGCTTCATATATAGAATGGTTCTCTTTGCCTTCCAAAGCCATCCTTATGACACAGATTCTCTTGGCTGTTCGACATTTCCATCACCAGCTAACACTTCTAAGCCTGCCCAGTATGTCTTCATAAAAATGTTCCCTTTCCATTGTCACCAGAGAACCAGTTAGCCTTGAGGCTAGTCCCTTTCCCTTCAACTTTCTTCCACTGACGTGGCTAGGCACGGCCCCATGACATTCTGTGTAACCTAGAAAATGGCTATCCTGCTTTATGTTCATTGAAAACAGCCACAGTCCTTTCACTTGTGGGCTTCTTAATTTCTCTGAAGAAGTGAAGTGTGTTGTAAACAAAACATATGATTAAGTCAGAAAGGACTCAGGAAAAGTATAAGACCATCAGTATTGACTTGAACTTTGATATAAAACACACCGGAATACAGGATAGCCTCGGGCCCACTAACATTGCTGGGATTGTGAATACATACATTCTTATCTGGCATCCTCGTGTACAAAAACACAAATACATAGAAACGCAAACACCAATACTACTACATATGGCCAATACTTAATAGTTGTACCAATGCTACTGAAGCTAATCGCCTCAACTTCTCACAGAGTCGTTTCATAACATTTGATTCTGAGTTTGTTGTTCCCACATAAACAAGTTTACAGTCTAAAGGTAATTCCTGAGATAGCAAATTGGAGATATTTTATATCACATTAGGAAATGAAGATACTTATACTGAATAATCTAAACTAGGCACTTAGATTAGAAGATCATAGGGATGTTTATTAAATAAGTTACTCAAGCACTTATTCTGTTAATCTCGAAGTTGTCACTTGGTGTTTAGAGTTCCCAGGAGCTGCACATTCCTCAAGTTCTGAATGTACCACCCTTTATCTCCTATATAGCTCAAAGCTTACCAGCTACCAGTTCTCTATTCATCAGTACTTATCCACAACATGTGGGTGTCCCTAAAATACTGCATATGTAACTTTGAACTTGTAAGTTTATAGTGCATTTAGTACATATGTGTATTGTGATGCAAAAAAATCCTAACCATAGAAACATGAAAGTATGAGAACTAAGTGGGTTATAGAGAACAAGTTAATCAAATGGTGGTTACATGCCAAAGAACATGGACTACTCAACTATAGTATTAACCAAAAACAGTACACTAGATGGACGATATATTTTAAAAATCTATTTTTGAATGAACTTTTTTTAAGGATTCAATATACGTGCAACATAAAAACTGTATTTTTTTTTTCAACTCTCCTTTTTTAAACCCTTGTTTAAGGTACCATTTTTTTTACAACATCATAACACACAGAATTTTGGAGTCTATATACATGAGGCTACATCCTTTATAGAGCATACACCTACTTCATAGATAAGAAAAGCAGATGCCCAAAAAGTGCAAATCACTGACTTTGGGCAAACCTAATCAGTCAGTGACTGGAAGAGGGACAGTATATCAATTACAGATCTTTGTCAAATACAACGGCTGTTACAATCCACCATCTCCTTTAGAGTATATGTGTGCATTTCTAAATTATAATTTTAATACATACAAAATACGTAAAAAAAAAAAAAAAAAAAAACCACTGAACACCACTATAGATGGAACATGCACATGGAAACCAACAAGTGCATGCATGACACATTCCATGGTAGACTCTCTGAGTTTGCACAAGCGTACAACACAGCCACTCTCAACTCACGAAGTTTAAAGATGATTGTGTTCCAAGAGTTTGGAAAACATTGCCATTTCTTACCTGGCAGCTGTGTGGGGGTTGATAAAAGACATTAACAACTTGAGCTATGAGTAGACATCACATTTATTTTCTAGCACTGAAAAATTGCTCCTACCTGGGATCTGGGGGGTATAATGCATCTAATGAGAGGTAGATAAGAGATTTGATGGGGATAACCAAACATGAAGACTTTAGTATTCTCGTGTACATGGCAACATTAGCTTGGGATGCTGGTGATTACCACTCAAAATCTTCGTGTTGGCTAGCATGGTCCTATTTTTCTTTACTAGGTTCAAAAGGTCTAAACCGGTAGTCAGTTTTTAGACTATGTATCTAAGGGAGAAATTGATTCTAGAAACACCACCCCTGCAGGTCCCAAATTCCCAGTACCACCAGTGCTTACTAAAATATAAAGTTCTACAAATCTGGCATAAGAACTACACATTCAGAATAAATCAGAGAACAGAGAAACTGTGGAGTTGTGGATATGGATGAGTGGTAAAGTTCTTCCTGAGCATACCAAAAGCCCTGGGGTCAATCCCTACCACAGCTTTAAGCTTGGTGTGAAGTGTACATCTATAATCCCAGCACTCAGGAGATGGGGGATAAGAAATTCAAGATTATTCTCAGCTATATACTGACCTTGAGGTCACCCTGAGATATATGAGACCGTGTTTCAATAAAAAACAGCAACAAAATAACAACAACAAAAAAGATCTCCAATGAAACTGGCCCAAGTTTTCACCATCAATATGCTCGAGTAAATGCCTAATTAAGGCTATATACTTTGAAAACCATAAATCATAGCCTCTTTCAATATTTTTATACTCCATACCTAAATGTGTTCATCTCTTTCCAAGAGGGCCTCGTTCTCAATTCAATTAACAAAAAAAAAAAGAAAGAAAGAAAGAAAGAAAGAAAAAGAAAGGAAGGAAGGAAAAGAGAGAAGCCCATCCTAGTCTTCCACATCCCCTAAAAGGTGAACTGCATTCATGATCCCCTTTTTCCCTCTCAGGCACAGCTTCCAGCTGCAGCATTTTAATAATTACTCAGGAAAGAACAAGGGAAGAAGCCAAGAGAAAGGCTCACCCTGCTTCATCTTTTCTCTCTAAGCAGTAAAGCATATAAAGAGCTAATCAGCAACAGAAACTCAAAGAACAGCAGCTTTCCACACATATTAACCACCAAGTGACCCAATAAAAATAGTATTACAACACTCAACAGCAACAAAAAACATACAAAAAAATGTAGTATCTTTGCTTGTGAGACTAAACTTGCAAAAGTGGTGACTTTTTTTTTTTTCTTTTTTGTTGAAAATGTCAATTCTGTCATGGCATTAAGAAGTTTTCTCTTTTTTTAACCTAAATCAAGCATGTTGAAAACAGTTCCTTTTCCTTTTTACCCCCATGATTTTAGAAGTGCTGAGAATGTCTCAGGGCCAATGGCAATAAAGGACATTCCATGGTCCTGCATTTCTCTTTAAAGACAAATAATCAGCATATCCTCTTGACTAGCATTCTTCAGGGGAGGACCCAGAGACTGCCTGACAGATGACCACATGTTGCACCTTTTCAGTCCCAATGGGAATAAAGACCGAAATGCAATGGTAAAACCATGTGCGCTTCTCAAGTTTGGATACCAGTGGAAGTTTATCCCTGCTCAGATTCCTAACCCTTCTTACAAACAAATAGGGCCTTGGGCCAAAGTTGATCAGGAAAAGAGTGTTTCAGCTTGCTTGTGCTCATTTGCCTGGAATTCTAGCACATCCCCACCCACACCCACTCTTCAGAATTAATTATTACAACAAAAGATATTATTAGATTATAAAGCGAAGTTACTTACCATGGAGGAGTCACGGCTTCCACTCCCGATCGGAGCTCCCTCAGCACAGGTTGGGAGGTGGGTAGAAAGTTGACTAGCCCTGCCCCCATCTATGACATCACAATCTACCTCATAAAAGGTAGTGAAATTGCTCTGAACTCCTGTCTGATTTCCGAGAGATACAGAAAAGAGAAAGTGAGAGAGAGAGCAAGAGAAAAAAAAAAATCCCGTATCCTACTTGGGAGGGAACTGGGGAAGTGGAAGAGGGAACAGGGAATTACCTAGGAGAAAGAGGTTATGAAGGAATTAGGTGTTGAAAGAGATATGTGCAGCTTTCTTGACATTAAGCAGCCAGTCATTCAGATTCCTCTTTAGGTATCCAACAGATAAAGGGACCGTCTCCGAGAAGGATGAAGAAGCACCCTCTCATGCCCAGCACACTATCATGGATAGTTATATGGGCTCAAAAGGAATGACTCCTCTATTAAAATCATTGAACATTGCCAAGAGAGAAAGCAAGGGCTAGCTGTTACTCTAAAGCCTGGAACAAAATGTGGGGGTTCCAGGTGCCTTGCTTGGAGGTTCCAGTGTCCTGCTATGTGAGCTTGGTAATGGTCTTGACCTCCATACATAACCCAGCATGTGGTAAAAAAAAAAAGGGGGGGGAACTTACCTCATTCATTGGGGAGCATTCATTGTTGTAACTGCAAATTTTTACTATTGATTTTGGAACCCAAGGGGGGTTGTGTGAAAGGCATGATTGAAAAGATAAGCCAATAACCAATGCCTATTTCTACCTTGAAAATTCTGAAATAGTCTCAATATAGGCTATTCTGAAAATCTTGCTGTTTTTTTGTTTTGGATTTTGGTTTTTTGTTTTGATTTTTAGAAAATGTTTTCCATAGTTACAAATTATACTATGTATCTTCACTAGCCTGTAAAGGCCATTTTCAAAACTCTAGGAAAATCAAGATAATATAGTTCCCCAAACCCCTGTACTTTCATACGGAGAAAGTCAAGTTTATATGACCCAGAAGCTAACTGCCTGACCAAACATTGTTGGAATAGTCAACTCCAGTCTTACAGGCAAAACTGTAATGTCTGAGTCCAGTTTTATCTCAGTGACCATGCAGCAATGTATAAGGAACTATGATGGTTCTTTCCATGTGATGGCTTAGAAATATAAAAATGTGAAATGCTCCAAGTTATGGAGTGGGAACTGTGGTTAGGAAAATAATTGGTACCAAAGAGCAGTTCCTGTTTCATATAGAAGCCAGAGCTGTGTCTGTCTAATGCAGTGTTTCTCAACCTGTGGGTCATGACCCTTTTATGGGTTGCATATCAGATATCCTGCATATCAACTATTTATACTATGATTCATAACTAGAAAAATTACAGTTATGAAATACCAACAAAATTTTCTGGTGGGGGATTACTACCACATGAACTGTATGTATTAAAGGGTCTCAGCATTAGGCAAGCTGAGAACCACTGGTCTAGTGGGTTAGATGAAAAATAAAACCAGCAGAAAATATGTTAGCAAAGAGTAGTATTCCAGATAATACCTTTTGCATTGCCAAAGCCCGTTTGCATGTGCAGATTAAAATAGGTAATAAGTGTGTGATTCTTTGATTCCTAAATCAGTGTAGTTCAATTTCTAATTCTATTGTCATTTACCAAGTATATGAGTACTACAATAATTTCAATATAAAATTATGCAAAACTGGCAGATTTAGGAGCAGTTTGGGACACAGAAGTTACTCAATTCAAATTAATGATAGAATTAGCAACATGACTCCCATCTTCAACTTCAAAATAAAATTTGGAGACATTTAAAGAATGTCTCTGATTCAAGATGAAACCAAAGAAAAAAACATCTAGTGTGGATGCAGAAGGTCCGTATCTCACATTTGACAGTCTGCCTGAGTTAGAGAAAGCAAGGGTACTCTACATGGATTTTCCTTGCTATATTTCCATTTCATATAATTGTATGCATAAATTCATATTCAGCATACCATAGCATTTACTCATGAGATCTTGAAGTGAATGACCCTATCAAATTTCACTTCCAGATTTTACATATTGAGTCATTGATTAGTTGGCTTATCTTAGCTATTTGTAATAATTTGTAATGTGCCATTGGTTTTTAATAATGAGCATTGCTGGATTTTTCACTTGTAGAGAATACACTAGTCAATTATGGCTACTATTTTCAAAGCTGGTTCTGAAATCTTAAGAGCTTCACTTGTTTCAAAAAATTAAAGTCATAAAGATTAATGATGCAATTGCACATATTCCAATACACATCTTTAGATTTTTGACTACCCAGTAAAGAAGTTATACTTCTACACCATTACAATAAAAGAACACAAATTGAGTAGTTTATAAATCTGGAAATAGAACATATTGAAGTTGGACTATAATCATAATTATTTCTTGCAGTCTGCCTATTGATAATTGGGAAATGGAAAACAACTTCAGGAACCCAATGCAAAACTAGGCTGCATCAAAAAAGATGCACAATAATACACTGTGCTGAAATTTCAGGTGAATTTGGTGTGTCTGGTTGTGAAAATGCCTCTAGTGATGATGTTAGTTAAAACAATGTAACTTGCTTTGATGCAGGATGCAACCCAAGGGTCTAGCCCCTTGACAATGTTCACACAATCTGTTTGACTTCAACTAATAGTATGCTTCATGCATTTGCCATCATGATATTAAAAATGGATGAGGAATCTCTTCAGTGTAAGACACAAAATAATTTTAAGATGTAAGACAGAAGTTTCTATAATTATAGTTATAATGTTCATCTGACCTAGCACATATAGGATGACTTTTAATTTCTTTGCATTAATGAATCCAATTTAATTTCTAATACAGAAGATTGAAAAGAGACCACAGGAATGATAGGGGTACATTAAAGGAATGATCTGCAGATGCCCTTATAAACTAATTGAACATGAATAAGATGACCAGGCCAGGGCCACACAACTTGAGCACAGTGCTATTATTGAAGAAAAGTATCTTGAGAGAAGTCTCAGTAAACAACCACAGGGGCATGCTTGAATCAGAAGTTCCTTGGTAAAGGCGTACTTGTTTGGCTTGTTTGTTTTACGGTACTATCTTATGTATAACAATAAGAGCAGAAAAGAGTAGATACTTCTTTAAAAAATGACCCTGACTGGAACCTTTCCAAGACGATCACTCTTAGGTGTAAATTAGATTTGTCAGAGAAAGTGGATGAATGAGGTCAAGACATAGGTCATAGAGGTGTGACAGTACATCTAGCCCCAGTTCCAGTCAACTTCATTATCAGCAAGGCATCTGCATAGATGAAGGTATTTGGAGAAAAGTAATAAAACGAGATATAGCATTGATGAAGAGAGGAAAGATTAACAGTCTAAATTAAGAAAGCTTGCCTTCTAGAAAATAGGATGAAGATGGAGGATTTAAAATACATTTGTCTAAAAGGAAAGTTGACTGTTCAAGACTAGGATGAGATGATGCGTTCTGAAGCAGTTCCGGGAATCTGAAATAAGAAAACTCCATATTGCCCATCCAGAAGCCTTTCCTATTTATAAGATACATGGACCATAATGTGTCACATATTTCTCTTCTGAGGGCTGTGATCAAAGCCGTATTTCATTTAAATTAGGCTGGAGAAAGCACTTGATGAAATCACCTATAGGTAAAGAATGTAGGCAACAGCAAGTAACACTTTTGTTTTCAGAATTCAGTGAATTAAGGGAACAGTAAAGACACAAAGGTAGCCATCAGAAAGGACCCTTCCATTCTAGCAGAAAATCCCAAACATCCCAATAAGCTGAGAAACTACATAGAAAAAGAGATGGGAAATATAGTCTAATAAATCACAATAGGAAGAAAATACCCTCCATGGTAATTGTTTGCAAGTAGAGACTAAAAAGCTAAGAATGACTTTTTCAACTCCTACAGAACACTGTGTCTTCACATAGTAAAAGTGTGAAAGAATCAATGGATGCTGAACTCAAGGAATCAGAAACTATCTGGTGGGGATGAGAAATCGATGCATGTCTTTGAATTCTTGACTGTTAGTTTGTCGTTGGAAATTAGTAATACCTCAACACATATTCTCTCATAGCCATCCCATCTACACACTCCTATATTTCACTAACAGCAGTCACACTGGTCATCAGAACCTATGAAATCTTCCAGCCAAAATGATGCATTCCAGTGGTACTCTCTATTCCAAATCATGAGAACTTTTGAACAAACACTGATCCTCCTTAGAAGAACCCTCTTTTCTGAACTTTATCAGACAGAGCACTGAACAGGGCCCATCCAGTCAGCTTTGCTGTATTCCTGGGCATTTAGGGTAATGCAAAATTATACACAAAAGCCAACAACAGAATCTCCAGAGCATCTATAGTGAATGGTTTAATATTGAGTCTCCTTGTTTTATCTATTTAACATATCAACTATTTGAATTTTATCTGTTTCCGTCACTATCCTTCCTTCAGCCCAGAAGCTTTGCTGTGGGCAAATCAGAGTGTAAATGAGGGGAAACGCTACCATAGATTAGCAAACGAAGTATTGATTAGTGTCTTAAGTAATTCTTGCTAACACTGATGAATCCTACAATACAGGGAAACCAGAAAGCAGGGATTGTATATTTATGTACTTTATTCACTGAATGATTTGACCTCTCAAAATTATTTGATTATGGTTAGGGAGCAAGCACATATGAAACTCCTCTTATAGTTTCAAAAGGTTTCTTTTACAATGCTTATCTAATCATTACTTTAAACATTACTTTTTTAATGCTAGACACCAAAGACCAAGGCCCCAAGGTTGCTAAGCAAATGCCCTACCACTAAGCTAAATCCTCAAGCCCTATTTGAAAGTATTACTTTAAATATTTATAATAATGAAGATCTTGGAATAGAACTTTAAAGAGCTATCACATGTGAAAAAGTGCTCAGGACTAGAATATTCCTTGCATTGATACTTTATAGGGCAATGCTATTTCCATAAGTTTGTCTAGATTACAGATACTGCAAGATATGGCCAGTTATCTCCCCCCACCCCAATTATTTAACCCCATGTATACAATATCTAAGTTTTTAAAAGGTTTTATTGTTAATTGGCTGCCAAATAATTCTCAGAATATCAAGTGAAATCTAAAG